GCGCTCCTTTCTCCATGAACTATTCCTCCAGCTGTAGCACATTTTTTATTAGATTCCTGAATTTGGAAAACTTGGTGCTGATATTTTTTGCCAGCGTACTTGTTTGCTTTAGTGGAGGGACAGAGCTTTGGGGTTCTCTACTGTGCCATTTCCCATGGCATCAGCCCCCTGACTTACGTTTCAGACTATCTGCCGGCTGCTGCCCCAAGAGGAGACTGCCAGGCGGACGAGGCCAGGGAGCCAGCTGCCACAAGGAGACCAGACGTGAGGGTCCTTGGACCAGGAGCAGTGCAGGTGGTCAGACCCAGGGCGTGTCTCTGAGGCAGAGACGGAAGGGTTTGCAGATGGGTTGTAAGGTAGGCCACAGCGTTGACAAGCTGGAAGGGCGGGCGTGCCGTGTGCTGGGCTCCGCAGCAGCCACTGACCAGCCTCTGCCTCACACTCAGGCTTCTGTCATCTATTCTCAGCAGGGAGCCAGAGGGAGGGAGTCTCAGAGGCCAAGTCGCATCGCAGCACTCTGCTGTCCCCATCCGAAATCCTTGCTACGGCCTGCAGCTCGTCCTGAGACCAGAAGGGGTGCGTTCAAACAGGCTTCTCTGTTTTCTGAGATGTGGAGCCCGCCAGTGCCCCCTGAAGGTGCAGAGAGTCCGGCGCGTCGGGGTCTTTCGGCCTACCTGTGGTAGGAGAGCACACTGGCGCCCTGAGGCCTTTCTGTGCACATCTCCTGACCCCCTTACCCTGCTCCAGCTCTGTTCCAGGCTGGCCTCGTTGCTGGTTCTTAACTCACCCTACGGGCTTCTGTCTCAGGACCTTTGCACTTGGGTTCCCACCTCGCTTCTCTATGTGTCTGTGTAAATGTCACCTTATTAGAGAGGCCTTCTCTGACTGCCTTGTTCAAACAGCAGATTCAGCTGCTCCGGCCACCCTGCCACTTCCTGTCCCCCCTTCTCTTGCACCCCCTCCACAGTATGTGTCATATGGCTGCTTCTTTATGTGATGATCATCCCTCTGCACCCCGTCCCACAGGACCTGAGCTAAAGAAGTGAGCACCATGATAAGTCAGCAACCATCTGACACTGTCCCACGCTGTCACGATATTATTGATCGCATTTCCCATGCTGTACGTTACGTCCCCATCACCCTAATTATTTCTTATTGTTGGTGCACCTAAGACTTCATTTAACAAAATTTCTGAGCCTCAAAATCGTGTTGAAAATGGCTGGTCTGCCCCACGGGCCCAGTTAGCATGTGATCATCCCACCGGTTTGCACAGCTGCGTCGCGTCCCTGCTGGGATGAGCGCTGCCACTAACCCCCCCGGAGGTCGGCGGCGCCACCATCTGGTTCTCACCTCTGAAATGAGGGTGCCAGAGGACGTTCCCTCCAGCTTCCAAAGCATGTCACCTGAGTCCATAGACATTGGCCAAAAGGAGACAAAGCATCCTCGCGACATAAAACAGTGAAAGGCAAGAATTTATCAAGTACTTTTTTTCTCCCAAGAGGCTTTCCAACTTCTCTTTGCTTTGCTTTTGTGCCTCGGAATTACGTTTCATGAGCGATATGATCTGTGCTGTGGATTTATCATCACCTTTGAACTTTGAACTCTGCTGTCACATTTCCATCGTTGGCTTCCTAGCACCTGAGATACTTGCCCAGGTTAAAAAGGTGTTTTCCTGTTTTGTTTACTGCAGATGCTAGAGACACACAGCCAAGGGAGAGCAGTACAAGCACTTCCGCTACAGCCTCCCACCGGCGTCTCAAGCAGATCTGGACAGACAGCAGCAGCCAAGCCACCAGCACGGAAACGCAGGCAGGTCCGCTCCCCTTAGAGACACACAATCTTCCTGCCATTTTTTCTAAATCCTTTATGTTTAAAAGCGTGGCTCATTTCTATAAAAGCTATGTAATTGTTACAGGCTAGTGACACAATACCCAGTGACAGGGACTCGTTATAGCTAAAAAGCTACAACAGCGGAGGTAGTCAGTATTTAAAAGACCACAGTAGGGGGCCGGCCGAGTGGCAATGGTTAAGAACTGCCTTGGGATGCCAGAGGGCCCCGGTTCGGATCCCACATATGAGGGCCAGTGACACTGCCCTCTACAGCTAAGATGCTGAACAACAGCTCAACCTGGAGCTGGGCTGCTGTGAGTCGCCGGCGATGGCGTAGGCTGCAGCCCCTGCGGCAGTGGGTTGTCATGGGCTACCGTGTGTAGCCAGCAGCCAGCAGTGAGCGGCCGTCCAGAAGCCGGCCACTGATCTGCCTCGCCCGGGAAGAGCGCAATGATGGTGCCAACTTGGGCCAGTGAAGCAACGTCCTCCACAACTAGACTGAAGAACAAAAATGACAGCAACTTGTCTGTTCCCATCCCCCAATTCCCCAATAAAAATCTTTAAAAAAAAAAAACCACAGTAGGGAAAGGAGAGTCTGCTAAGGAGCACGGGGTTTGGGGTGACAAAAATGCTGTCTAGTTAGATCATGGGGACATTTGCACAGCTCTGTGGATATGCTAATAGCCCTTGAATTGCCCGTTTTAAATGGGGGAGCTGTGTGGCACGCTGGTATGTGACCCCCCCATATAAGTACTGCACTTGGGGTCTGCACAGAGCCAGGGAGTCACCAAAGACGTGACCCTCAGTTCTCTGCAGGGGAGAGGCAGAGGGTGGAGAGGGACACTCCACAGACAGCTCAGATGCGCATGGCCACCTGCACCCCTCCACATGTGTGATGGACCCCCACCTCAGACTCAACGTGCCCCAACCTAACACCCGGTGTCTCCCCCAGGCCGCGTGGGAGCATGCCCTCTGTGCAGCCCACGATGCCATCACAGCGGGGCCCGGCCCAGTGACGGGAGTGATTCTGGTATTTCTCCACAGCCCAGTCTAAGCCACAGCAAACCCTGCCCGCCATCCAGCACCGTCACTGCCACACTCCCCACCTGATGCTGTGACCGCCTTCTCTCTGCTCTCGCTCTGCTCCGCTTTGCCCTCCCATGTCCCTTGTCAACACAGCAGCCCAAGGGATGCCGTCAGATGGACAGTTCAGAATGGCACTGCCCAAGATGCTGACGAGCTCCCACTACGGCCTCACGCCTTGGGCTGCCGCTCCCGGCACCCAGTGTGGACACAGTTTCCTCGTGCCTCCACTCCCTTCCGCTGGTAAAGCCCGTGCTTTGCCGTCATGTGGCCAGCTGGCCTCCTTAGCTCACCAGCTGGGTGGCTCCGAAAACGGGAAACTTTCAAGCAGGATGGTCTTTTTCTTTTTCTTTTTCAATGGACGTTTTATTTCAGAACAATTTTAAGCAGCAGCAAATGTAGAGGAAAAGTTGTGAATAGAGTAAAAAGCGAGCTCGCAAACCTGGTGACCGACTTCCTGCTATCAGCATCTCACACTAGCACATTACATCTCTACATCTGTCACATCCGGGCCATGTCACCCCCCATCTTTGCCTCCTGCTGGGCCGCCCCAGCAGCCTGTCCTCTCTCACCACCCCGTCCCTCTGTCCTGCAGGTCAGATACTTTCCAGAACCCGGAAACCTGAGGCCTCGTGTGACCAGACAGCTTCAAGGGAACCTGGATGGCACGGGGGTGCTGCCTACACTCCAGCTATGCACTGGCTTCAGGGCCCGCTGGCCTTTCAGCTGTGTGGCCAGCCTCACGCTGCCCTCCGGAGCCCGTGTTCCCAGCTGCCCCCACCCCCTGTGCCCTGGGCACCCCTCCTGCCAGCACGAGGTCTCCTGCCAGGACCCAGTCTCATTTCTCAGTCGCCTCCAGCCCTGGGCCCCTCATAGCTCCACTGCTCCCAGTCCTGGGGTCCTACAGGCTGTTTAAACTCCTTCACTCTGGAAAGCTGTCCATGGCCACACACACACACAGGCTGGAAAGCTGCCTTCTCGTGGGCTCACGCCTCATCTGCGGGACGCAACCTCGTCCTCCAGCCACTGAGGTAGGATCCACCGCGGCAACTCAGGGGAACAGTTTCCAAAGCTGTAAAGAGCTTTGAAAGTGCCGATTACAGCATCCGATTTCAGTTGGTGCAATCACAGTATGACAAAGTAATCTGGCCCCAGGGACTGTGGTCACCTGCCACAGCCCTGCCATCAAGGGCTATGCGACTGGGACACCAGGCTCACCACCCCCGGCCCTTTTCCCCTTCCTCACATGGGCTGTGGCCCCGCTCCAGGTGGCAGGAGGCCACACAGGTGACACTCCGGTCACACCTGCACGCCCCAGCATTCAGCAGCTTCTCGTCTCAATTTGCTCAGATGCTACCTTTTTCCCACTAGAAAGCCCCAATTCGGGACTTGAATCTTGGGGCAGGGAGGGCGGGGGAGGTGTTGAGCACAAGGCAGGCCTGACACGGCTGATTCAGCTGGGGCAGAGGCAGCCAGGTCCCCCTTGGGGACAGTTTATTAGGAGCCAGGACAGCAGAGGAAGAGCGGCCCAACCTGCCAGCTCCCCAGGTCCTGGTACAGTAGTGATGGGACACCACCCACACTGCAGGGAGCAGGTCTGTCCCTGGAAGGAAGTGGGCAGGGGCCTCAACTCTCCTCAGAGCCCAGGAGGAAGGAGAAGTGACTGAGGCAGCAGCTCCTCACACCCTGTGATCGATCCTGCGGTCTGGGAGGACCACAAGGCGTTATGCAAAGGCTTGCGGTCTGCCTCAGCTCTAGCCCTGCCCCACAGCCCACGTGGGCACCTGAGAGGTCGCCAGGGTCCCATGCAGGAGCAGCCCCCTCCGGGGAAGGAGGCGCTGGTGGAGGGGGCCCACAGGTCTGGGGTTTCCTGCAGAGAAAACCAGGAGCCCGCTGGATTTAAATCAAGATAATCACCTAATCAAGCTGGCCCTACCTTAGGTCTGACTGTTACTTTTCCTGAAAGCAGAGAGCCCTTTGAAGAGAATGAATATTCAAATCATTATTTATAAGGAGAGCAGTTTCTTGTTAAATAATATTAAATAACAGATTTTAATTTTGGCTGTTTAATGCCCCGGCTAAACTCCATTACTCAAGAAGCTAAGAAACATATTTTTTAAGATTTTCTTACTGGCTTATGATTTTTCTCACCGCATTGGACTTCCAAAGTTCCTTGACTTTTAATGTATTTTTATGTTATGAGACTCCAGCTTTTCAGCAAGTATTCTGAAGAAGAGAGGGCTTCTTGCAGGGGAAAGGGTTGGGGAGCTGTTTACATTTTAGAAAAAGCTGGGGTTGGAGGCGGAAGGGATAGGGTCAGCTTTGTTGGGTACTTAGTATTACGGAGTGGGATCAGGCTTTGGAAATGCGCGTTGGGGAAGGACCCGCAGGCATAACCCCAGCCATCCGAGCTTTGGTGGTGACGGGGTCTGTTATTCTGATGTGTGTACACACTTTCCAATTATTAAGCAGTTGTAACCCAAGTACCTTCAACGGGGAGAAAAACACCTTTCCCGATAACCACTCTAGGTGTGTTAATAACCACTAACGCCAGATTAACTGAAAATCTGACACAGTTAACCAGCATGTCACAAAATTAAGTTTTATCCCATCGAGTCCTCCCTGCAATAATTACATTTTGGGGGTTTTCCCAGCAGTTTTGTCATTAAAATGACTAACTACTGAAACAATTATCTGTTGCAAGATTCCAGGGAAAAGGCGACGACAGTCTCCAGAACACGTCGCTGTGGAATATTCTTCAGCGTTACAACGCAACGGTCCATTTTTGCTGGTCTGCCCCTGGTTCGCGGGCATCCTGGCGCGTCAGCGCCCCCTAGGGCCTCGCCGCGCCCTCACGGCCGGGTTGGGGTCTGGGAGCCGGACGTGGGGAGGGCTCAGCGTTCTCGCTGGCTCCCCTGTCCAGTTCTCAGATGACCTCCCAGGGGAACAAAGTGCCACACTGACCAGTGGCCAGCCCGGCCCGTGTACACACTGAGCTGAACAGAAGCGGGCCTGCGACCTCAAGAATCTTTCGAGACACATCCCGGCTCTAATTTCAGAGTCAAGTCTCTCTCTGGTTATTTCAGGAATAGATGTGACCCTGAGGAATTTGTCTCCTTTCCTTTAAGTTTCCAATGAAATCAGAGCCCCTGTTCTTGGCTGTCCAAGCAGGTTACACACAGCTACAAGGTGGGGACAGAAGCAGTCAGGACGGCCATGGCACCTTCTGGCCCGGGGTGGGGGGCCCGGGGAGTGAGGGGTGTGCTCTGCGGGTGGGCGGGGAGCGGGGAGGGCTGTCTTTTCTTCTCCTTTGTTAAGCCTCCGTTACTAAGTATTGTTTTATGTAGTGTTTATTTGTTTATTCGCTATGAGAACATTGGTCTTCAGACTCTAAAAGGAAGATCTATAGAATACTTACACACATACCCAGAGGAGACCGTGAGTGGCATGGATGAATGTCAGCTTCACCTGCCGCTGCTAGTGGGCTCGCCAGGGTTGGGGGAGGGGCACAAGAGGGCCCTAATTTGCTGTTTCTGCCGCAAACTGCAAAAGGCTCCTCCACGAAACCTATCCACTCCTCGGGCAAGTGTCCAATTTCAACAGCGTCCAGGGAAGTCCGTTCCCTGTGGCCTCCCCGGTTCCCAGGGCTGACGCACAAGCTCTCCCGAGCGCCTCGAAAGTGTAACTTCCAGCTGGATCCTGGACCGCGGGCGTCCCCTGTCGGCCACCTGGAGAAGGGGCGCGCAGACAACGCTGGAAAGACCTGCGCGGAGCTGGCGGATGCAGCTCATCCCGACCTCAGGGGCTGGACTGCGCGGTGTTCAGATTGTGCGGAATGAAAGAACCCCAAAAGCTCCACCTCGGTGCACCAGAGAGAACTTGGTGCAGGGGTACTAAGTGGCCGGGGGGAGATGACAGTGAAAATCACCAATTTTAAGGACTATTTGGTTATTAATAGCACTTCGGCAGTGCCCACTTTACTGTTTTTATTATTCTTTTGTTGTGGATGGAAGCTCTATTTGAAAGCGTCATTAGGGAGAACATCTAAAGCAGGTCAAACCTGGGACAAGCCCCGCTCGGGACTCGTTCTCGCCGGCCCACTCTGCCTCCTGGGGACTTGCGGGGCGACGAGTGTAAGCCTTCATGGCTTTGAGAAGCGGCCCTGGAAAGGGCAAAGCCACGTGCGCACCTGCAGATGCGTATTTGTGGGGCCGGGGAAGGGAACGAACAGCCCAGCGGGTGCAGATGAAACTCCGAATCTTCGGCTCCCCGAGACCCGACGCGAATCGGGTCTCATCAGAAATGTCCCACGAATTCCCCAGCCCCAGGACTTGAATTTTGGAAAGCTTTGCAAAGTACACACGGGTGCGGAGAGCGCACACCGGTTTCCCCAACACAGGCTCGCTGCGGGAGGCCTCACCCGCAGGCGCAGGGGGGGAAGGGCGGCGGGGACTCTAGGTAGGCCAGGTGGAGGCGGGGGCTCTGGAGTGACCCGGGGCGCTGGAGACGCCGGGATGGCCGGAGGCACCAGGGTTGGTGGGTGATGGGACAGCCCGGTTCTTGGGGACCGCCAGGTGTGCGTGTGGGGAGCAGGTGCCCGGGCGGCCGCGCGCTGCGCACCCCTGCGATCGGCCCAGCTGCACAGGGCAAGACGCGGGACCCCAGAGCCTCGTCTGCGCCTGCCCGCCCCCGTCACCCCCCACCGTCACCCCCCACCCCCGGCGCGCCGTTCCGGGGCGTGTCCTCGGCCACATCAGCTTCTATATAGCGGCCAGCGCGCCGGGGCCGCCCAGATGCAAGCGCGGCAGCGCGGCGCTGAGGACTGGCCGCTGCCTGTCCCGCTTCCGTAGCCTCGCGCCCCACGCTGTCACACGGTCCCCGCGCGCCCCGGCCGGCCGAGCTGCGGCTCCTTGCGGCGATCGCCATGCAGCTAACGCACCCCGCGCTCTGGGCCGCGACGCTGACCGCGCTGGCGCTGCTCGGAGGGGCGCCG